AAATAGTAAAAAACTGGGTATAGGTATCAGCCAACATTTTGGTACCGTCCCATCCATAGTCCTAGGACACCCTCGGCCACATCACTGACCCGAGCTTCAGACTTTCCGAATCACAAGAGACGCCCATGACCCAGTGATAAGGATGAGGGAGGAAAGGGGAGTAATATGATCATAACGCTTTGTCGAACACTTTATTCTTTCCACCATTGTTGAGAAATGGCATTACCAGCTAAGTTTAAATATAGGGAAACTTAACTTAGAAAGACAGCTCATCGCCTGCTCAGCCGCCCCTGCAGACGAGGTCTTGAGATGCTGTCGAAGGCACTCCTCAACTGGCTGAAATGAGTTATAATTTGTAAACAATAAATTACCCCTAGGGGGTGTTATGTCAGCCTATTTCATTCACTGATGGCTGACAACTTACTTGTGTGGACTCAAAAGTCCGCACCTAACTGCCGACTATAGGTTGATTACAAACTCCTTGCGACTCAAGAACTGCGCAGTCCCCCGTACTACAAGAAATTCGTAACCTACCTTGCTCTTGTAGCGTGAGCTATGGTGTTCTTCACACCTTCGACAGATATCGGTGACTTGATATTAGCTGAAGTGTCCTTGGATGTCCACGTCTTCCATAGTCTAGGAATACGCACACTGGTACACTATGTTCCACAAGATTTGTCTTTATTGTTCACAATCTTATCACTAAAGAAGCTGATCACACTTAAGTGTTTATTGTGTTTTATGACACACTTTATTCACACTAACGCACAGATAGTTCTTTGTTGGCTATCCTGGCATCAGTGTCACTCTCAGTAGACTCAAAAGTAATCTGAAGACGCCACACCGCCCCACGCCGTTACTGCCCCCAGCACAAAGGAAAAGCTGACATAGTACCTTTGCTTCCTTGCCACTTCCTCCATGAGGCAAAGCAGAATGTTTAAATCTTGCTGTCTTGAGCATAGACAACAATGTCCACTATCTTTACTATGGTAATAAAGTGGGAGCAGGATTTTCCTTAATTGTCCTGCTAAGGTAAGAGATGTACTGTCTCTTATTAAAATACACTCTGCAACACTGGACTGCAAGGAGCGGTGGTCGCTTGACCACGTCGCATACTCGTACTGCATCTGCCATCAATTACTCGCTGTAGCAGTAAACAAGATATTTGCCCCTTCTGAGAGGGCTGGGCCCCTCAGGGCTGAAAGGGGCTGAAGGGGGCTGATACCCCTCTCCTGGAGAAAATTTCTCCACAACCATTGTCCGCTCCTTTATAACCTTCAGGTCTTCCATCCACCCTTTTTTAGAGAGGTACCCACAGGGAATTCTACGCTTGCTTAACCTACAAACATGACCTACTAACATTAATTGATTTGTCCAGTGGTGACTCCGCCTCCTGCTGCTTCTACTCATGAGTGCAGTATATAAGCCGCTTCTCCGAGTATGTGCTGTACTTTTCTCAAGACTAATGGACTGAAAATATTGGCTCCAGGATTAAAGACCGATTGCTTCAAGCTACTACTCATCTTCCTGAAACTGCTTCCTTTCCTTGATGTGCATGTCCGTCTCTCGGTGACATGCTTTTCTTTTTTAGTAGTTTAACGCAAGCCGATAAACGGTGGCATGTACATTCACCACTTTTCTTACCATACTCCCTCTGTCAGTTAGTCTGTGTCTGTCTGTCTGTCTTTTTTTTTTTTTTTTTTTTTTTTTTTTTTTTTTTTTTTTTTTACACAGGGTTTGACAAGGTTAAGGATCCCTAGCTTTATTGACTAAGCTATTTACAGGTTAAGGATTTCTAACTTTATTGGCAAGCTAAGAGCTGTTACCTACATCAGCTCATTTGAAATCATTTTTATTGTTATGAGACATACAAGTAGGGAACAGGATGAAGTTGGAGCCATCTGTGGGCCAGCATTTTCATTTGATCAACTGACTTTATCTCGTTGACATCATTATGCTGTACGAATGTGTTCCATACTCGAGTCATCTTGGGTATGTATGATCTCAGATGGAGTGATGTTCTGGAGAAGGGTACAGCCAGAGTGAAGTTGCTGCTTTCTGCCAGTCTTGTGACATAAAAGCTTGTTTCACGCTGTCGCTCGCTCACTCACTCGCACACACATACACACACACACTCACTCACACTCACTCACACTCACTCACACTCACTCACACTCACTCACACTCACTCACACTCACTCACACTCACTCACACTCACTCACACTCTCACACTCTCTCACACTCTCTCACACTCTCTCACACTCTCTCACACTCTCTCACACACTCTCACACTCTCTCACACTCTCTCACACTCTCTCACACTCTCTCACACTCTCTCACACTCTCTCACACTCTCTCACACTCTCACACACTCTCACACTCTCTCACACTCTCTCACACTCTCTCACACTCTCTTCCTATCTTTGACGCCCAGTTTCTTGACTCTGAAATTTCCATTCTTCGTAGCTCGTTCTCTCGCCTTGGTAACCTCTCCAATTTCATAAACTCTACCGTCTCACATGCTTAATAGACTTCCCAAACTTTTTTTTCCTGTGAAATCTCGTGTTCTTTACCCTCCCTACATTTCCAGTCTCCTAAATCTTAACATGACTCTCCGACCTTTAAATATTAAACTTACTTTTCGTCAAACTAGTATCCTTCTTAGTAATTTAAATGATCTCTCTCTTACCACTGATGCTGCCCGTGTATACTTCATTTCCTGTACCTATTGTCCTCTCCAATACTTTGGAGAAGCTCTGAGCAAAGTAGATATTCCTATAATGCCAGTCTCTCGTTCTCTTTTGAAGAGGGTGAACTCTTATTTTTGGAAGAACTACCAATGTGCATGTGTTTATGTATTAACTTAGTTGTACTTGTTGTATTAACTTAGTTGTACTTATTGTATTAACTTAGTTGTACTTGTAGTTGCAGGGGTCGAGTCATAGTTCCTGGCCCAGCCTCTTCGCTGATCGCTATTAGGTCCGCTCTCTCCCTTTTCCATGAGCTTTATCGAACCTCTTCTTAAATCTATGTATGGATGCTGCCTCCACTACATCACTCTCTGGATTGTTCCACTTCCTGATAACTCTGACTAAAGAAATACTTCCTAACATCCCTGTGACTCATCTGAGCTCTCAACTTCCAGTTGTGATCCCTTGTTGCTGTGTCACATCTCTGAAACATTCTGTCACTATCAACAGTGAAGTACCTATTCGTTAGCGCAAACACGACGCAAATCAGATACATAACAGAGGGCTGAGCTTGCTACCATCTGCAGCTCATAAGACTGCCATCCCCACGAGCCCCTTTGAGGCGGGGTAGATGGCAGACCAGAGGCCTAGCTTCTCCCTACGAGCCCCGTGAGGGCGGGGAATGTGGCTAGGCCTGGGGACACTTGGTCCCAAAGATGAGGAGGTATTGTACCTCCTCCCATGGGAGACTTAAGTCTCGAGACACTCCCCAGATAGGGAGCCAAGGCCGGGTCACCACTACTTGGAAAAGACCCGGGCCGGGAGAATACCGGCGAATAAAAAAAAAAAAAAATAATCAGATACATTTCACCCAGACCATGGAACTCTCGCTACTGTATGAGGCAGCAGCGTGACTCACGCGGATTTCAGGTGATTACAGGGCTTAACCCCCCCCCCCCCCCCACGCTCCGCGAGTACCTCATTTAACATTGAATGCATTCCTTGTTTATGGGGGCAATAGAGTAGGGAGGTTTGCCATATACATCTACCAGGGGATCCCTTCTGTCTCAAAACACTGCCCAATGTGAGAATGGAGGTACGTATATATTATGTAATTCAATAAGTAGTTAGAATGGGATGGCAGGTTCTAATAAGGATTCTACAATGACTGGACATGGATTACTAACCTAAACAGTCTATTCTACACACTACTAAATTTCCAGGTGTAGTTATCAGGTTTACTCCAGGGGGAAAGCATTATTATTATAATCGAGGGGAAGTGCTAAACCCGTAGGATTATACAGCACCTGTGGGGGGGGGTACGTGTAAGATATTCAGGCTTAATTCAGGGAACTGGAGCACAGAGCCAATTACCTAGATCAAGAGCCCCTCACCAGCATCAAGGAACCTTCCTTGAGGGGAGGAGGAGAGCAGCGCCAGGTCCTTGGACCAAGAGCTCTTCACCTTTATCATGGCACCCTCTCGGCCCATTTTTTTTTTATGTGTGGATAATATTGCCTTCGTAGAGGAGCGCTAAATTCGTAGGGGGTTATACATCATCAGGGAAAAAAGCAATCAGATTCGGTCCAAGAAAAAGGGAAGGTATCTCCAGACCTTCGTATCAGGAGCCCTTCACCAGCATCAAAGGATCCTTCGTGAAGGGAATAAAAGTCATAAAACACCTGGGGAATTAGAGGTAAAAAGGTCTGATGAGAAGGGGAAAGTAGAACCTATTGTTTGGCTTAAGGGATTGTCATACATTGTCATACATGCGTCTTATACACGTCTCACAGACTTCTCCCTCTCCCCTCCCGTCCTTCCCTCCCCTCTCACTGCTATTACCCGTCACTGAGATCAATAGACCGTCACCATAGTCTTGGACCTCCGTCCAAGACTATGGATAAATATTAAAAAGTTCTTATACCATGGCTGGACCAGTTCACAAATAACTCGCACTAAGGAAAGGAAACTTTTGACGACGTCTTGAATAAGTCTTGGATCACTGTCAAGTCACAGCTGACTTGACTTCGTAAGTTTTAAAAGAGAGAAGCTTATGACGACGTTTCGGTCTGACTTGGACCATTTACAAAGTCAGTGTGACTTTGTAAATGGTCCAAGTCGGGCCGAAACGTCGTCGTAAGCTTCTCTTTTTTATGTGCGGGTTATTTGTGTATCGTTCCAGTCACGGTATTGTGCCTTTTTTTATTCATAAGTTGTGACTAAACTATGGTTCAGGACGGACAGAAACGTTGTCACAAGGTTCCTCTTTCAGCTGTGTGTTATTTAATATATTGGTAAAACAAAGACAATTGTTTGAGAATATTTATTATTAACAACGGAGTACTAGATTGAAAAATGTAATTAAAAAAATGTATTCCACAATTTCTTAGACCAGATGACATTATCAAAGACGTCTGATATTAAAGCTTATATAAACCAGTTAACAAGGCAGAAAAAAGGTGCATATGTATGTATGTATGTATGTATGTATGAGAATGTGTGTTCATGTATCTGTATTTTTGTTTGCCTTGTACGCTTGTATGCACATGTCTACTCATATTAAAAACAGTACCTAAAATGCAAGCTTGCTACTAGCTCTAGTGTCAAGCTATAAATTAAACATTCTGGTTACGACAATAAGATCAACAGAGACGGCGGTGATTCCCACATTACCTTTCAGCAACTTTTTCAACATAGGAAACAACACGTTTAATGGAATAATGGCAATGTGGATAAAACTTTTCTGAAGATAAACATGGAGGAAGGGGAGAGGCGTAATAAATCCAAGACAGACGAAAAGAATTAAGGTTGTCTGAGCAAAAATTTACTTTGATGAGGTTTCGCTCTATTTAAAGCTTTAAATAAAGCTGTACATAAAGGAGCTTTGCATAAATCGAAACTGCCACAATAAGAGCTTCTCTGCTTCATAATGTAGAGCGTATTAACACGTTGCTTAGTCTACCTAGAAAACACGGAGACACAGAGGACCTGATTGCCTGGCTAGTTACATCCAAAAATATTTATTAAAAAGCTCACTCTCTCTTCCACCCCCACTTGCGCTTACCACGAGAGAACATCACAGGTCATGAACAGTGTTACAGCAAACGTCAAGAAACCCCCCCCCTCAAAAAAAAAAAAACTGTACAAGTTTACAATAAGATCTTAACAAGATATGAAAATATGTTGATAAAATTGATAATGTGAAGCTATATTCTAATTATGTGAGAACAATCTTTTGAATGAAACACCAACATTGTTATTCTTATTGGCGAGTTTTAAAAGTTTACTCTAACAGAGAATTCCAGTTTCATGGGAAGGAACTGTTAATGCCGGCAGGCCTTCTCCAGAAGAATATAAAAATCACTGGTTCAATTTGCTTGGAAAAGACATGGAATAAACTGCATCGGCTTGGGAAAAACTATAGTGATATCGATAATATGTAGAAAAAACTGAAGCACAGTTCAAGACACTTTTTTGAGGAAACATTCCGCTATGAGAGGCTTCCTAAGTCTTAATACAGGGATGCTAGACCAAGTATACATTTATATTCTGCAAGACGTCAGGTAAGCGCAGTTTAGAAGAGGGATAAAATGTTACAATACAGGAAAATATTTAAAAATCAACTAGACGAACATATGAATGAAGCCTTTAAGTCGTTATCAGTGCTCGGCATGACAGTTACTGGCTGGGCTCATGTAATGGCGGTCTAGGGTAGGTAGTAATCGGCTTGTCAAAACTTTGGAAATGCTTTATCTACCGGATGTTTGTGGGATAGTGCTTGTTACTGCTATCATGGTCACCTGTAATACTTCAGCCGGGGTTTTCTCGTGAAATTAATTTAAGTCTCTCCATATTTCCTGATTTGGCCCAGCTTTGTGTGCAGGACAGGTATTGTTCTGATCGTCACGGTTGCACTTGTCACATCATCCACAATGTATGACAAACGTCTACACTGGTGATTGTTTTGTCCGTTTGCTCCTTGTTAAATTTCTAACAATGGCCGAAGAACTTGGGATTGTTTCTCACTAACTGCTTCTCATTGTCAGAGCCACGTTAGACGCTATGGTACTCTTAGGCAAAATAAAATGCTTGCCTAGTTATGAAGTGTTTGTTGTGTCGACGTAGTTTTCTTTGACAATGCGCGTTGTACGTTTCCTGCAGTCATCGATTAAGAGGGAATTGCAGTAATTTACAATCTTGTGAATTATGTTAGCATTCCTCTTCGAGGTGCTGTTGGCTGCATGTCTTATATACCCTGGGGAATAATTCTATCACGGTGCCCCCTTCTAGTTTATGATCGAAATGAAAAATTTTCGAATTCCTAAATTTAATTTTTAAATGAGAGAAAAAGCATTAAGATAAAATTTAAATATATAAAAACTTTTTAACAATTTGCAGAGTATTTCTATGGAGCAAACAAACGTACAACCCAATCATAAGTTTAAGTCTCCCCTTCATACTTTGTGGAGCGTATGACAGAAGTATTTGAACAAAATAAGATCTTTTAAAGGGAAATTACGTGGAAAAAAAATGAATTCATGATGACCAGAACATTGCCTGTGCCCACAACAGAGTTAATAAAGTTTAATATAGGATGACCAAACCCGCTGTGACAATAGTAACACTATCCCTTAATAATCTGGTGGTAATAATATTAACAGAATCTTCGCATCCCAATTAATACCCAACCAGGATACTACCATCATATGTCAACAGGTAAAACATCACTCCTGGACACTGCAGATGACCTGCCGGCCTCATTTATGTATCAAGTTCTGTCCAACCTGTTGTCAATGATTCCCTTATATTTTGCCAGCAGTATTTTACCCCACCTTCAACCTATGCTCACTTGCTCCCTTGCCCTATATATACTTTTTCTAACGTCTCTTAGGGGTGAAAACGCCGATGGGAAACTTTATCTAATTAAATGACAGTGCACCAAAGAGTATCAACACAAGCTGCATTGTTCATCGGGTTTCAGTTACATTCATAGTGTAGAGTTAAACCCTCAGGTTTCAAACAGCGCCTGGGGAAGGGCGTAACTCCAGGGGTAACTCCAGTTCCTTGGATTAAAAACCTTTCACCGGCATTGTATAGTTAAGACTTACGGAGACACAGGGATCTGGTGTCTTGTGACGAGGTGACTATCCCAAAGTCAATACCAGGTTATGCTTCCAGTATATATTTATTAATTCATTGGAAAGAGGGGAAAGCACTAAACCTGTCGTGGTTATACATCACCTGGGGACAAATTGGAAGCCGTTTCTATCGTAGGGAAGGGAGGTCAGAATCAGCTGAGCACGTATTCAGCAGCGGAAAAATCTCGCGACTATTTATAGACAACAAATTTGTACCAACAGCCTTCCGGATGTTTTAACATGTTGAAATGGCGCAGAATAATGAGGGGCAAAAATGAGTTGATGTTCTTAGTGTCTTAGGCACACGCCAAGAACAGTTAAGTGAGAGAATGCCATAGTGCTAGCAAGTAGCTGTATAAATAGAGGTGAAAAATATACCTAAGAAAATGAGTTCTATGTAAATATAGTTAGCTATAGTACCGTGATTGTTCAAAAGACATCAAGTGTTGCACATGATCAGATGTAACAATCCTCGTTTGCTCTCCTTATATTTTGTAACTTTCAGGAATCCTGTTTTGTCTAAAATCCACCTTCTAGTTTCAAGATTTTTTTTTTGTCCGTCTCCAGTACACCAGTCATTTCAGTGTTAACACACCTGGATTTAATTTTACTATTATGTTTTAAGGGTTCAAGTCCACTTGACTGTTAGATGCTGTACAAGATTCTGCCTAGAAGTACATTAATCGTTTTTTCTTTAAATTGTTAGTGTTTTTAAAATGCGCCGAGACTAGAGCGAAAAGGTAATCTTAGATGTCTGATGTAAGAGGAACCTGGGAAGCCGGACTCAAGATGAACCCGGGAAATTGGTCGAAAGCAAACCTGGATTGTGGGACAAAAGAGGGACCTGGAAAGTCATAGAAACTTATAAGAAGAGTCAAAAGAGGAACTGTGTTGGAACATGGAATAACTATTGCCAGATTTAATACTGATGATAGTCCTATTCTTAAGGTTAGGAGTTGAACAGAACTTCAGTGGGATGTCTCTTAGCAATGTAAGGCATGCGAGGCATTGTTACCACGATTTATTCATGAAGAAGCGTTTAATTATGTATGGAGTCAGAGCCTGTGGTCAATAGGTAACCACTTTTGATCCAAGGAGACAGATTAGATTCTGTACTAGTGTTCTCCTTCCTTCCTCCCACCCATTTCGAGGGAGAGAAACTCCATACCTTCTTATTTTTCAGCAACTGGTTAAAACGCACTAAATAGCAACTTTTTTTTTTGTTCTTAAGGCTCACGCAGACTCGCCTCAAGTGATTGAGCTTCGAATCTATGATCGCGTCATGCGAGATGAACTTTTGTCTTCAGGAGACAGTTGGTACGTACCAACGTACTCTGTACTCTGCTAATCAAACTTATCAAGTATACTTGATAACTTCGATTAGCAGAGTCTGGCGTCATATGACATACTTAAAAGGTTTCTTCTATTCTGAAGATCTCGTATGCTCAGGAGGTACATAATCACTGCAAATAATTTTAGGATTGCTAATTGTTCAAAATAGTTTTAAATTATTTAATTTATTCCAGTACAAATTACCTGATGTTAACGTAAATGCTAATGCCCAGGGTATTGTTCAACAGATGGAAGGCACTTAATCTGGAAATCCTTGTCCTTCCACTTTACAGTAGCACTCAGTTGCATTTCAAACCTTGGAAACGAAACCTACATTTACATGTACAACTAAGATATATTGTGAACTTCACAAACAGACGAGGAATTATTAAGGTGCAGCCACACGCCTAGCAGCAGTGAGCAGGGAGACACCTCCAGTACTGACCATTTGTAAAGGGTCATGCTTTTTAAGTGATGTAAAGGCAGCTGAAACATCGGAAGCCGATGCTTCAGATGACCATCAGTCAAAAGAGACTTCAGACGACAAAAAACAAAATACAAACGGGCTTATAAAACTGAACTGCTTTAATAATCTTACAGTGTCTGACATATAATCCAACTAAAGGAAAATGTAATGTCCTCTTGGTCAGAAGAGCATCTCAGAGCAAACTTGCTTGCTTGTGCCTGGCAAATTATTTGATGGCGGGTCCGTGTTAAACTGAAGGTAATTAGTTGCTTAAAGCTACTATTTTTTTTATAATGATTTTACTCTCGCCTATCGCCATTTTGTATTTTCTCTTAAATCTTGAAGTTTACTGAATCTCTTGTCACCTCAATGCATTTTTAAACCTTGAATTATCTCCATGTTTGCTTTACGTTTCTGAGTCCATTTTATCTTACGAAATCTTGCACCACCATTATATATTTGACCTTCGTATCTCCCATTTCTCTTCTCATTTAATGTACTCTTTCATTTAACATAAAACAAATATTTTTAGCTTCACAGAACGTATTATTTAATCCTCTATCGTCTTAGAGGTAACAGCTTTTCTCAGTTTTAGTTCACTAACGCTCGTGCCTGCTCATTTAGTAAACTAAATTACTCAGCTCTTATGATGACCACTTTCTTCGTCTTGTTCTCTTTTCTATCATTAAAACACTTTTCTTTCATCCTCTCTTAACAGAGAACAGCGCATTTCTTGGTAAAAAAAAATAATGAAGCCACCGCCTCAACTTCCATTACAGAAACCTAGAGTATAATCATCCCTAACATCATAGAAAACGAAGCTTCAACCAACTCCAGACAAACGCGTCCTCTCCTCTGAATAAGAACAGCCTCTCATCCATTTCCACCGCCTCGCACTCCTAGTCGTTGAGTAACCACACCTCACAGTACATCTGCCTCCCCTTCCAAATCAATAGAGTCTTGCTCAAACGAATCTCCCGTCATCCGCGCCACCTGTTGGAGAGAAACTGCCAGTTGTCACCCTTGCCTGAATTTGTCTACATAGTTCTTATTTCTAGTTAAATACAATAAGTTTCCTGCTTCTATAGTTTCGCTCATAAAACGAGCACTATATGAAAAAAAGGGAGATTTCCAACTTTACTTTAGGTAATTTACCAGTTATCTTATCTGAGCCCATTTTAAAGCACAGCCCAATTTAAAGTATACTACCATCTGTCAGGATGTGACCCAGAGCAGTTGACTGACTGACACACATGAACCTAGTTAATCCTAAAGCAACAAGGACAGCAGGTGTATGTTGACACCCATGTGTCAAGGTTTCTTGGACTCGAACCTTTTTTTTTTTTTTTTTTTTTTTTTTTGAAAGATATGAGCCCTTGATCATTATTTTATGGAATAGGAGATACTTAAAACTAAAACATAACAGCAAGTGCAATACAATCATTGACTCGTGCAAATTCCACAAATTTTCTTTAGAAATTACGTAAATATAGTGGTCTAAAAGCATGCAAACAAGGAAAGCAAGCAACATATAATCAGACTACATGCAGTTAGCAGGTATACAGCATAAGCAGTAATCTACTCCCGATGGTTTTAGTAGAGGGATGAAGGGAATCAGTTACCCCAAACGTAGTAAGCTAAAATTGTTCAAGCATATCCACATTTGACTCGTGGAGAGCAGCAAGACTGACCACAACGTACAAAGGATGACATTATGTTTAGTACAGCGGTATGCAGACTACTTACTGCCATTACACTAGGTTGCAAGAGTTTCTGGCAGGCACGAAACCCTAACTCGATACTTTTCAGTAGGCGCCATTTCTTTTTCTACCTTCTGGGTAACCTGGTTAACACAAACCACAAATTCATAATTAACCAAAATTTATTCTTAGTTAATCCGCACAATATTCATAGAAAACCCAAACCATATTTTTTTCGTTAACCCAGACTATTTTATGTATGAAACCATGCTGACTCACGAAATGGTAAAATAGGGTGAGGCTTGAACTCATGGTAGGAGAGTCCTGAAACTCCCTGACCAGTAGGCTAACTAGCCTGGGAGTTTTAGGACTACCCTGCCATTGGTTCGAGTTCTTCCCGTACTACGATTTATGAACCACGTAGTCCTAGTTAACCAAAGCCAGGGAACCTGTGGGTGCCCGCCTGTCCTGTTAGGCGAATTTAACATTCCGTGCTTCTTCGAACAAGTGTGTGGCGCCCAATTTTTCTATACGTGAAGAATTTCTAGCTCAGCTATAGCCAATTCATTGAATTATCTACTTTCTAATAATTTGCGTTGGAATGTCTGAAACATTTTAACACCCCCCCCCCCACTACATGAGAATAAATAACAAAAGCGTTATGTAAGAAAGACTACGAACCAAGATCATTACGTTATATCACAGAGCCTGAACTGAAAATTATGAGAGCTAACCGTCTCCATCTTGAAGTATTGCCTGAACCTCACTGAGCTAACTACGAATGGCTAACACCTGGCTTTGTTATGACCCCAGCGAGTGTTTATTTTTACTTATCTCACCGTCCGTGTCCCAACATCGATGCGCGAACAATACATTAAAAGAAAGCGTTCACCATCAGCTCTTTATTGATTATCTTGAAAAGTGTGCCAACTTCTCACTTCAGTGAGTATCTTCCGTACCAATCCTTCTGGACGTGAATCTGATAACCGATTGCCTGGAAACTTCACGATTTTTTATCATGCTCGGAGTCAAGTAACAAATTAAAAAAAAAAAAAAAAAAAATTCGTTTCACTTAACTTATTCTCATTATATTATTTACATAGTATTTCACACCCTTCAAATCTCAAATGCTCACAGGTAAGTAATGAAAAAAAAAGATGGCCACGTTACAAAGAAGTTAAGCATCGCATTATAACACTAAGTGCACACAGGTGCACCTGAATGCAACACACGAATGATTCGTGTATACATGTTGAGCATTCTTGAATTCTGATTCGAATACGAATGATGCATGTAGTCTCTCTCTACTTTGTGTCTATATGATGAATAATGGTTCCGAGAATCATCGCTGTAATGACCCACTATCAGGGTCTTATTTTCTAAATTTGAGAAATACCTGATTTATATGAGATTTGAAGTTTGCCGTGTCTGGTTGATGGCGCACATTACGAACATTGCTACAGTGCTATTATTTACATTCTTATTGACAATGGGAAAAAGCATACCGACAGGGGCCAGGAGCTAAGCCTCGACCCCTGCAACCACAATTAGTTGAGTACAAGACAATATCCAGTTTATAGCAATTCTGAAAAAAACTCTGAACTAACAGGTTAGAAGTGTTCAAAGCAATATGCGATAAACTGCACACATCGTATTGACATAGTGCCGTCTCATGAAATTGAAAAAGTGGGGAGAGCACCCTGATACGGTTTCTCATTTTATTTTGAAAGAGTTCGTTAGAAATTAAGATATATTTTGCTCAGTTATTCCTAATTTTCATTATTGTGCGCTTTTACACCACATTTGCACTAATTGGAATTTTATCTAAGTGTAAATATTACGCTTACACTTATTATTTTCCAGTATTTATTTTAATTACGAATTGTGAAAACTCTTTAAAAATATTTCTTTTCTACCATTGCCAATTTACTTCAGCTTGCTAATATATTACTCATACTACATACAACAGTCACTAAGTAAAATTATTCAAAGCATTTTTCACATTCTGCAACCCATAACCAAAATTCCTTCCGGGTCAAGTGGCACAAGTGTCAGCTAACGTAGACGAGAGATTAAATATACTCACAGTTTAAGCCGAACAAGATGCTGGGTTCGTAGCCAGGCAAGCATCCTATGGAAAAGTGACACCTCTCCCATAGAAGAGGTCTCTACCTCTAGGCACAAACAACTTAAACCACACCACAATATTAAAGTGCAGTGGGTGGAGAGTCACAGGGCGCCCTAAATCTAATCCAACGATTCAGTAGTTCTGAGTGGCAGGAACGTCTTGCTGTAAGCTTGTTTATAACCCTCACTATAGTGTTCCCAGATCTTGTGTAACTTCCTGACAGTGTACTGCTATCATGACCTGTGTTATTACTCACAGTGTACTGTTACCAGGTACTGTATTACTCCTCACAGTATACTGTTACCAGGTACAGCATGACTCCTCACCTTGCAATGTTACCAGGTACCGTACTACTCACAGTGTAATGTTACCAGGTACCGTATTACTCACAGTGTACTGTTACCAGGTCATGTTTACAACCCACATAGCAGTGTGCTGTTCGAACTCCCCCTTAAAAACCTGGTGTCTATGTACTGTTCCCAGGATCAATTATAAAACCTCCTTATAGTACTGTTATAGGTCCTGTTTATACCCTCATTCAAGGGTGTATACACTGGGGCTGAGGTATCATTGTGTTGTGTAAATATTACATTCAGCGTTGTTTAGTAGGCTAGAAAATTAAAGAATCAACTATCTCAAATCACGCTTATAATGCTCCCATCTCTGTTTCATTTAATTGTGGTTTAAGAAAGGAAAATGCTCAGTTCCCTGTCGGTTTCCTCCTGTTTTCATGACTGAGTGCATGATCACTTTATACTGTTTGCATCATTTGCCAGGACTTAGGTGTGACTCACGAAAGCGTAACACGACTGGAAACTAGGAAATGGGCGGGGACTGAACCCATGGCAAGCGAGTCCTAAAACTCCAGGACAGTGTTTGAAAGTATATACGGGGGAGTTAAGGTCAATGAACGGAGGTTTCAAGAGCATTTTCACATAGGATCACGATCTCGTGCAAGACTAAGACGCGAACAATTAAAATTTAAAAGCATCACGAAAACCTTCAATGTACCCACTAGCACGACAAACAGCAGAAGCAGAACATTCGAGCAGCACACGTAAAACTTACAAAAGCAGAATTAATGAAAATACGAGACTGCGGTACATACCTGCGGGTCAGTCTCCAATGAGATGTGCGGCGTGCGACCAATAAAGTTCTCTCTTCCTCGCCCGAAGAAACTGCGCTTCCCTGTGGGCAGAGAGAATGCTCAGGTGGCATGTCATACTATACAGATATATACACCTACTATTTTACACGTTTAGCAATCCAATGGAATAGTGTTCTAATCATAAAGCTTCTGTCAGTTTAGCCATACATATCGAAATATGTGATGTAAATGATTTAGTAAACCGACAAGCTGAAAAGTGAGACTTGTGCAGCACTTGGGAATCTTTGAGAAAAAGTTTCGGCAGCCTGAAACATTTCTTCGGTCCATCAACAATGATGGACTAACCAGAACGATTCCAGGCTGAGGAACTGATTACCCTAATCTCCTGAGGGGGCCACATGTTGGCGAAACATTTCCAAAAGAAAAATTCCCAAATGTGGCAAAATTGTCTAATTCTCATTTTTGTGGGTGAGAACTGAAAACACACTTTAAACACCAGACAAATTCTACTAAAGTGTTAATTAAGAACAACAGCGAATACAAAATAGAGAAGTTCAAGAACCACCAACAGAGTAGCTGAATAAACAATTGTAAGAATTGTTATCACCCCAGTAGGTTGGTTGTTCCAGTGTGGTGGGTTAAGAACAAGCCCTCACACGGAAATAAGATGGTTGTTCCAGTGTGGTGGGTTAAGAACAAGCCCTCACACGGTAGTAAGATGGTTGTTCCAGTGTGGTGGGTTAAGAACAAGCCCTCACACGGAAATAAGATGGTTGTTCCAGTGTGGTGGGTTAAGAACAAGCCCTCACACGGTAGTAAGATGGTTGTTCCAGTGTGGTGGGTTAAGAACAAGCCCTCACACGGTAGTAAGATGGTTGTTCCAGTGTGGTGAGTTATGAACACAAGCCCTCACACGGTAGTAACAGTGTGGTGGGTTATGAACACAAGCCCTCACACGGTAGTAAGATGGTTGCTCCAGTGTGGTTGGGTAAGAACAAGCTTCCACGATCTTGCCGACTGGTTGCTCTGGTTTCTCAGAAAAAACTGAAAATTTGGATTTTTATATTCACGGCGGAAAACCGAACCAGTAACCATCACACAATGCCTGGGGAAATGGGAAGCAACCAGGTTCAGTCCGAGGAAGGAGAAGGTGCTTCAATTCCTTGATCAAGAGCTATTTACCAGCATCAAGGAATTCACCTTAAAGGGATGACAACCAAGCTTTATGATTCTTAACAGGAAAGCGTCTTGTAGCGGTGATGAGACTCAAGCTGATCTCATTAGTTCACATGTCGAAAGAATTAATTCATCCTCCCACCATGCATATTTGAATGTTTCCTGCGCTGGCATGGACACCACGCTGCCAGACGTTCTCGTCTGTTTAATATGCCTATTTGTGGTAAAATAAAAGCTTTTACAAATGTATGCGTAACCTACAGTAACTTAAATTTACTAATTTTAATAAGGGAGGAGATCTAAGTCCATTGGGTTTATCTAATGCCTGTGGAATCGGAAGCATTTATGTTTAATCCAAGGAAGATCAAGAGCTCATCAACAAAGCAGCTACCATAAATACCTTATCCTAAAATGTAAAAACATTTATCAAAATGCTGGGAATGTTCAGGTGCTGACGCTTCGAATCTCTGAATAAACCAGTACAAAATGTTAGGCAGTGCATTACATGCTAAAGGGGAGAATCTACATCACTACCTTTAGCGAGGGTAACAAGCTGGAAATTCGCATAAGATAATTAAAAAATACAGGTAATTGGCTGTACTGTCTTCATTGACAAGAGAAGATGTGTAGGAATGAATATGGCTTTACTGCCTTCAGTGACAAGTCACGAACAGAAAGTGACTGGAAATTTTTTACACAATTTCCTAAATGTAGAACATATAAATGAATAACATAATAATTGAGTATTAAAGTATGCTGATTTGACCCTTTCGAGAAATTTCGATTGGGGGGTGTAGAACAGCAGTTGAGTGATGCCAGAAGCAGGACGCTTTATTGAATTTAATGTGTGAACACTGGCCTGAATTGTGCAATGTAATCAGGCGTTCTCGAAGGTCAGTTGGTGTACATTGGCCTCAATCAGTAATTAAGAAATTGCTGACACATTCCTGCTGAAGAATTGAGTGTGTGGCAATAAGGACAGAAAAATAGAGGACACCATTTGTAATTTGTGAACACTGGCTGTTACGGAAAATTTAGCTAATAATTTGGTGTCTCCTTGGCCAAATTGCGGGTTTTTAACCTGAATTTGTAATAGGAACCCATGCAAATATCCCCTGCTGAAGAATTGGGAATGGAAATTTGCAGGGCGTCAAGAATAACGTGTGAATTGCGGAAGATAAGGGATATGACTATCACTCACAGAGAAGTGCACCATTAGTCCTTGCATTTAGATCTCTAGCTGACCAGTGTAGGGGCTAGGTGTCAGGCAGGTGTTGTGGTGTAATCTATCTACAGTAATTAAATGGACAGCGGTAATATGAATTTCTTTTGTGTACCCAGCAAGCCTAATCATATACAGTCCACATTATTTTATTATTTACCATCATTGGTATTGTTTAATATTATTATTTTTTTTATTATCACACTGGCCGATTCCCACCAAGGCAGGGTGGCCCGAAAAAGAAAAACTTTCACCATCATTCACTCCATCACTGTCTTGCCAGAAGGGTGCTTTACACTACAGTTTTTAAACTGCAACATTAACACCTCTCCTTCAGAGTGCAGGCACTGTACTTCCCATCTCCAGGACTCAAGTCCGGCCTGCCGGTTTCCCTGAACCCCTTCATAAATGTTACTTTGCTCACACTCCAACAGCACGTCAAGTATTAAAAACCATTTGTCTCCATTCACTCCTATCAAACACGCTCACGCATGCCTGCTGGAAGTCCAAGCCCTCGCACACAAAAACCTCCTTTACCCCTTCCCTCCAACCTTTCCTAGGCCGACCCTACCCCGCCTTCCTTCCACTACAGACTGATACACTCTTGAAGTCACTCTGTTTCGCTCCATTCTCTCTACATGTCCGAACCACCTTAACAACCCTTCCTCAGCCCTCTGGACAACAGTTTTGGTAATCCCGCACCTCCTCCTAACTTCCAAACTACGAATTCTCTGCATTATATTCACACCACACATTGCCCTCAGACATGACATCTCCACTGCCTCCAGCCTTCTTCTCGCTGCAACATTCATCACCCATGCTTCACACCCATATAAGAGCGTTGGTAAAACTATACTCTCATACATTCCCCTCTTTGCCTCCAAGGACAAAGTTCTTTGTCTCCACAGACTCCTAAGCACACCACTCACTCTTTTCCCCTCATCAATTCTATGATTCACCTCATCTTTCATAGACCCATCCGCTGACACGTCCACTCCCAAATATCTGAATACATTCACCTCCTCCATACTCTCTCCCTCCAATCTGATATTCAATCTTTCATCACCTAATCTTTTTGTTATTCTCATAACCTTACTCTTTCCTGTATTCACCTTTAACTTTCTTCCCTTACACACCCTACCAAATTCATCCACCGATCTCTGCAACTTCTCTTCAGAATCTCCCAAGAGCACAGTGTCATCAGCAAAGAGCAACTGTGACAACTCCCACTTTGTGTGTGATTCTTTATCTTTTAACTCCACGCCTCTTGTTTAATATTGTAATTATTAATTTAATGTCAAGTCTAGCTTTCTGTGAGAATGACTTAAATCTCACCCAAATTACTTGTCTGTAATAATTCAGGTAATACCCTGTAAACCTCATGAAGGTAATTTACTCACATAATTCAAAGTGCATATGAATCAACATGGCTTCACTGCCTTCAGTGGCAATGGTCACAAAGAGTGGGTGTGTCAACCTGGAGGGTCTCTGGGGGTTAACGACCCCGTGGCCCAATCCATGACCTCAGTCACTACTCTCTCTATTTCATATTTGGTTCGTTTGGATTAAGTTGAATTAAATAAACCATTAAAATGCAATTAACCCCCCCCAAAAAAAAATTTAATTGCATTTTAAAAGTGCTTAAACTACTGTACAAATACAGGTTAACTTCAACATTTTACAATGTTTATACAGAAATGGGGAATACTATAGTGCATGTTGAAAGCATTAGATAACATTATTGATACTATTATTTTTTTTTTTTTTGGGGGGGGGGGCATTATTAAAGACATTCAATTCAAGAACTCAAAAAATAATTTATGTTATAGTAGTCTAGTAAGGTATAGGTACAATATTTTACATTAGATGACATTCAGTTCATGAACTCGTATTCTCAAGCATCGACGATATCAGGTAATAGTTTTATAATCTAAAAACAATAAACTTGAAAAATAACTAATTCAGAGAAAATTAGGAGTCGTCGAATTTGAGAATCAAGAGTGATTACGTGTTTACAAATGATATTACTTAATGATAACGGTGAAATAAGCAGACTATCTCTTTAAAGTCTGAAAGTATCCGAAAAGATTTTCAGCATAATAGTTATTAGGATTACATGGAGGCATGGGTGTTTTTTTTTTTTTTTTTTTTTTGACAGTACCTTGAAACAGCTGACGGATTAGGAAGGCTCTGCAGTTATCAGGTAGGGAGTTTCAGATTTTGGGACCTTTAATATACAGAATTTTTACAGAGGTTAAACAAGACACAAGGAACAGAACTTTGTGTCTGTTGTATTTCAGTTATGAGTCAACTATCAAAAAAGTGTTTCAAGTCAGGATTGATAAGAGTTTATTGTCCTGTATATGTAGTAAGCATAACAGTGTGAATATTATGTATATTTAGTAGGTTCAGGTTTATTTTAGTAGGTTCAAGTTTTTGAAAAGATGTATTTTCTGGCAGTAGAAAGTAATAATTAGTGCTGCTACTGTCGTGACCAATTCACTCTTCACATATAATCACCAAGTAAATAGAACATTTCCAAGTATTTCTGACATTCTAATCTGACTAATTCGTTGTCATCAGCAGTGTCAGCAATTTTAGTGGAAAAATATTTCCATTACCAAACCAACCAATATTTCCAAGTATGCAGAGATGCTGTGCTAGATTCAAGCAAGCCTCCTC